ACTTGAAAAAAGGAGAGATTAGTATTAACTAGAAGAAAAAAGAAAATTCTTAGAAAATGGCAGACTTCAGATATTAGGTCACACAAAAGAATGGACAACTTCAGATGAAGTGGGAAGAGAAAACTGCACAGCAGGAATACCTTGAAAGGAGCCAACAGACAAGACAGCTGCCACCAGGGAGGAGGAGGACGTTAAAATAAGGAGGGTGAGGTCAGATTGGAAAGCGCTATGCTGCAGGCTACGTCAGGGATGGACAGGTCTCACTTATCTATGTATCCTGCCATAAAGCAAGTGTTCAATAAATGCCTGAATAAATAACGAGAACGAGAGAGGAACAGTATCTCCACAAAAAGGAACAGAAAGAGAAATAAAGGACTACAGACAGACTAGCACTGAAAACAACAAAATGTTTTTAATAATTTTTTGAAGGAATAAATATGTGGATAAATAAATTAGTTGTTAAAGTCCCCATTTTACACAGAAGGATTATCTGTTGTTGTGCGTGCCTTCTAGCCTAATCTGACTCACAGTGACCTTGTAGCACAGGGCAGAACTGCCACAGGGTTTCCAAGGCTGAAATCTTTATAGAAGCAGACTGCCAATCTTTCTCCCAGAGTGGCTGTTGGGTTCAAACTGCTGACCTTTTGATTAACAGCCAAGCACTCAATCACTATACCACCAGGGCTCCTTCAGAGAGACTGAAATTGAGAAAACTACTGGGATGGATGGTGAAATTGCCTAATTGAGCACAGTTCCCGAAACATGGTACAGGCTGAAGGCAGACTACTTGAGGTAAAGAAAACACAAACTAGTTATGATCACGTCGATTCTGACTCATGGTGACCCCACGTACAGAACATAACTGGGCTCCACAGGGTCTTCAAGGGCTGCGATCTTCCTGACGCAGATCGCCAGGCCCTGCATCTGAAGTACCTCTGGCTGGGTGTGAACAGTCAACCTTGGGTTAACAGGTGAGCACTCAACTGTTTATACCACACAGAGACTCTGAGATTAAGAAGGGAATGCTTATTGGCAATACAAATAGACTAACTGCAAATCTGACACATGGAGCAACACCTCCATTCAATATAAACCCACTGAGAGCCTACAGCATGTCAGACACTATATCAGGTGATCACTAAACAAAGTTACAGTAAGAATACCAGCAAACCGTCTACATACCAAATACATGTTTAAAGTATATCAGATGTACTGCAACAAAGATAACGAAAGGCATGAACAAAGCTAGTATCAATAAACAAAGGAGATCTCTAAAAATAAAGCGATCTATGGTTACTGTTAAGGAGTCCTAGTGATGCAGTGGTTAAGAGCTCGCTACTAACCAAAAGGTTGGTGGTTTGAACCCACCCAGTGGCTCTGCAGGAGAAAGACCTGGCAATTCCATACAGATTACATCTAAGAAACCCTATGGGCAGATTTACTCTGTTACATGGGGTCACTGGGCGTTGGAATCAACTTATGGCATCCAACAAAAACAACAACACAGGTACTTTTGGATGTTTAATTCTGTTGAATTTGTTTTTGTGGGCACATGTGTAGTCCTTCTATTAAGTAATCTCTTTTATTTATTTTAAAGTAACTATAAACAGTTACAGGCCACTGATCATATACATCACAGACCACCCAGGCAAAATTCCAAGACAGTATACTTTTCCCCCACTACAACACACACATCCAAGCCACTACAACATACACATCCAAGCAGAAAAGGGGTATCTTTAATTTGATGATAGGTTCATCACTGTATGAGTGTATTAAATATCTGTATAAAAATATTTTTTTTTTCAATATTCTCCTTCAATGCTCTCCTGCAAAAGAATTCTACTGTATTAAAACGTTGCAAACAATGAAAGCACTCTTTTTAGAAACCTCGCATATGGTGAAATGATGGAACAAACGCCTGACAGACAGCATTGTTTTCATGCACCCAGGAGTGAAATATGAAAACTTCCCTGAAATGTCTGCCAAACATGCTTAATCCTCACCTGCAAAATGGTTCACTCCAAGAGTCAATCTTGCCTTTCTGAATAATGGCTTTGTTAGTGGGGTTAGGGACCCAAAATTTACTAGGAAGATAGATTCTAATTTTCTTTGTAGCTGATATACCATGGTTTAAGAAACAAAAAAATGGGATTCAGTACCATGTGTACTTGTATAAAGAGATTTCTTATTTGAAATGAGAATGAAGACAAATCTTAATTTCAAAAATTTGGTAAACAAAAGTTTAATAGAATACCACTGTAACTGAGATAATAAGATAATTACACAAACTATTTTGTAAAATTATAATTGGCATTGGACTAATATGTCCATTAATATATGCTTTTAAAGTGCTTCAAAATAGTTCATTCTTTTAAGTATAATCAATATTCTTTTACATCTTCTTTGACCTATTATTTTTTTTGGTCAGCTCTTCTTTTCAACAGTAAAAGGGTAAATGATAAACCCAACTCCCTCCAAACTATACCCAATTCTGAATTAGGGAGTTTCTAATTAACAGGTTAGTTAACAAATTCTGCAAAGTTCTTCAAACATTTACCTTACACATTAGCTTACATGTCTAAAAATTGTAACATCTTTCACAGGGAAGCTCTTATAAATGAATATGTAGTTCTCTAGGCTAAAGGCAGCATGACAGGCTAAACATTAACCAGCTACTACTAACTTACAAAATTAGTTGCGCAACTGTAGAAGATATACATTTACAGAATTAAGACCTCTTCAAGTTTTTTTAATTGGTGAATTCATGTCATGAAAAGAAATTATATACATGTAGGGGTGCCCTTGGTGGTATAAATGATCAGGCACTTAGCTACTAACTGAAAGTATGGCAGTTTGAGTCTACCCAGGGGTGCCTTGGAAGAAAGACCTGGCGATCTACTTCCAAAGAGCACAGCCATTAGAAACCCTATGGACCACAGTTCTACTCTGACACAGATGGCATCATTATGTAGCAATGACTCAATGACAACTGGTTTGGTTTTCAGTTTAGTGTCTTATGCTCTAACACTTGTTTTTGAAAATGTGATTTTGTCTCAATGTGACTGAAACATCAGGAAACAATACAGGAAGAGTACAAACTTCACTTTTGCTTAACATGATTTTATCCACAAGAAACACTAGGTAAAAGCAGAAAATTAGAATCAGCTGCACCTAGAAACACAGTACATACACATATACAGCTTAAACATCTGCCAATTACCTCAGGTTATGTGAGCCACGATTTATTCACATCTGGTGTTAAAGTTTTTCACAGGATTTCAGTGAAATCCTTTCACTACTTCGCAATAACTAACAAGCTGCAACCCTTCCAAAAGCTATTCTACAAGCAAACTCCAGGTCTCTTTCAAGGTAAAATGCCATATTTATTGTATATATATATATATTTCTTAATCATTTAATAGGTGTAAGATAGTGCTTCTGTTTTTAGTAGGCTCCTATTTTTCTTTTATTTAAATATGTCACTGATTAATTTTGAGCTTATGTCTCTAGTTCCATTTTCCAAAAAAAAGCCCTGTGGTTTTGACTGTATGGTTTTGCACAGAAAGCTGATTTCTAGGGCTACGTATGCCGTAACATTATAGCGAAACTCTTTTACTGCACTGCTCAAGCTATTACCACGGAGCTGTAAATGATGGCACCTAAAGAACATGAACTAGTCTCTGGACCAAGAAGGTCAATGGCCTGTTTTGAGGCAAGTGTCCGGTCCACTGCCACCATTCTTGACCTAAAACCGCTAGAAATTTCTCTGTGCTACTCACAAATTCTAAAAACACACTAGGGCCACACTGATGAATTTATTGGGAATAAACAGTTTTAAAGTAAGAAGCTGCTGGCCCCAATTTCCTTGGCTCATTTTGACCTTTTCCACTTTTAAATACTTTGTTCTTAAACACTTCGTAATAAATGCCTTTCTGTGCAACTTGTTAATTGCTCTGGACTTAGTCTTTTTTTTACCTTCCTGCTAGACTTTAAGCGTAAGGATTTCATGTCTTCTATGTATTTTTCTTTTATTCTTCACAGAACAGATGCTCATTAGATACTTACAAAGTGATTTTTTAAATGTACAGGGTATTTCTTTTCTAACTAATGGGAAGAATGAAGCCCTTTATCATCATGGGTTTACATACCTCAACTGGAAAGAGATATGAATAAATATGGTTTTTCACAGTGCTCTTAAGAATTCTTAAGACATGGAATAGGCAGGAAAATATACATATACATATATGTAACGTATAACTTTTATCCTGTGCGCTGCTCTTCTGGATTCTGCACCCAAAGAGACAGTGTGATGTGAGAAAGGAGTACTCCCTGCTAATTACCTGATTTCAATGCCCCAAAGTTATTTTACTAATCTTCTCAATTAACCTTCAACTTTTAACTAATAACCTTCCTAATTTTTTTGCAGTCCCCTTGGTAACCCAGAACCATGGCTAATGCTTCAGATTCTCACACTGCTGTCATCCAGAGTAAACTCGTCTTTTCATTGTTTCTATCTTTCAGCATCTCATATAATTTTCACATTTCTCTACCTGCCAACCAAACCAAATTCTTTGCGCTCGTTAAAATACAACACACACACACAAATCACAAACACTATCTTCTCATGTCAAATGAAATTATTAAATAACAGATTTTAATCCTAGAAGAGATTTAAATTGTAATCCTTCATTTATAGTTATGGAATCCGAGGTCCAAAGAGTTTGTCATATATTTATTTATTTCAAACCCTACAAACACCTTCCTCAACAGAGTACAGAGAATTGCAATTATTTTGCACCAGGAGTATGAAATTTGCAGAAATGTATTCCCATGTCAAACATACTTTAATAGGCACCAAATGGATCAATAATAAATTTAAAAGCTCTTTGAAAATTAATAAACAGTGAATCAAAGAAATACCTTATATATGATTAATGTTGAAATAAAATATCCTCTAATACATACCTCAAAATTAATTAAGTATAGATTTTACTAACCTCCCGTATGACTTGCTGCAACTCATCTTGTTCCACATTTTTATGCATTTCCTCAGCAGCTGGCATTAATGGGCTATTTCCATGCCCTTCTTCTACTTCAGATTTAGGTCGTACAGCCTCTGAGCCTTCTTCAGCTGCTCCAACTTCCTCAGAACTTTCCAGATCTGGAGGCGTCTGCATGGAACCTGATCTAGAAGGAGCTGTTGGCGTGAGGGCTACTGAAGCACGGAATACTTTCTTACTTGACACTAACTGGGTTTTGGGTTTGCCCACTGAGTCACTGTAAATTACTCCAGTTCTTCTATTAGCAGGAGAGGGGCCAGAACACACAGAAGATGACTCTGATGTTGCCTGGGAAAAAACTGATTCTGAGCTCTCTCCAGGAGGAATTTCAAAGCCCATTTCTCCAAGCGCCAGGCCCAATTCAGACTTCAGATATGACTGTTCCCGCATCAATTCAGTGACCTGTAGATCAGAAAACTTTTTATTCTTCCCTGTTGAAATTATGATTGGTAGTTGAAAAGAAGATTAAAATCTTACTGAGACTACTGCCAAAATCACATAGCTCATAAAGATGTAATTCTAATTCATTAATTTAGTAACTATTCAGTTTCATCTGTAAAAACATCAAACAAAATTTCAATTCATCATGAGATCAAACATCAACATGTGTAACTAGTATATATAAATCCATTGCCACTGATTCCATTTCTACTCATAGCAATACCATAGGACAGAGTAAATGCTGCCCCATAAGTTTTCTACAGCTGTCATTTTGTGGAAACAGACTACCAGGTCTTTCTTCCATAGAAGAGCTGGTGAGTTTGAACTACCAACCTTTTGGTTAGTAACCACTTAACTAACCACTGTGCCATCAGAGCACCTTAACTAGCATGAAAAAAATAAACTACACAGGTCCAAATTACATATAATGAAGCTGGTTTTCTATTGGTAATCAAAACATCTACTCATAATGCTTTTGTCCCCAAAAGAATCCACTTTGCTTCAACTATAATTAAAAAAAAAAAAAAAAAAGACTTTTGTTCAAAAGGAAGTAATCTTACAGATCCAACTAAGGACTTCATTGGGGTCAAACTATGAAAGTAAATTTCCCCTAGAGAATATAAATGGAAAAGTTTTAATGGTACATTACCTCTGTGAAGCCATAAAGACAAATCACTATTACAATTAACCTGGCTTTCCAGTGACAATGAGCTTTCTGAAGTGACAAACCCATTTCTAATCAATAACTTAGCAAAATGCAGCAAAATTCTGTGTTAAAAAAATACATTTCATCTACACTGGGAAAATTATGTATTTATAAAATGTTCTCTTGTATCATTCCCTTCCCCAGCGATTTAGAAGGAGAGAGTCTTACTGGTTCCATTACATTCAATGGAGAAGGGCATGACAAGTTATCAGCGCTTCTACTGCCACACATGCCCTGAAAAAGTAAAAACAATATATACACATTTTTTTCAAATTGCAAGTATTTTATAATAAAATTAATCAGCTAAACACTGCCCTGTAGAATACCTTTATGTCATAGGTCACACTCAATTGTGATGGAATTGTATGAAATGTGTAATTGTGACTGAAGGGCTGATACTAAAGATGTGGAAACATTCTGACTCTCTGGGGTCATCAACGCATTTCTCAGAATACTGAGTCAAAAACCATTTTATGGAAAAATATATACTTAAATGATACAGAATATTCTTATTATACTACTACAACTCATATTTTTATTCTGTTTATTCTACCCTACTTATGTGCATATGTGTGTGCTTATTTCTCCATTTATTTTTAACGAATTCAAATTCAACACTCATGTAACAAAAAGAACAAATACATTTATAGAATTAAGAGAAAAGTTCACTATTTCAATGCCTCAAAACAACATATTCTACTATTTTAAAGGTACTGGCAAAAATATAACTGCTGAGTTCAAATTTCATGGAAAGGAACATAAGAAGTATGTAAAATCACATAAAATGAAGAAAAAGAGTTTTTTTTTTAATTCGCTTGTAGATTCCTTTATATGTTTTTGACTTAAAGATCTGATTCCTTAAAAAAAGAGCATAATGAATGAAAAATTTAAAAGGGAAGAGTTAATTATTGAAAACTAAGTAAAAGACTGAGTGAAACACATATCCCAGTTCTTTGTAGTTATATGCAATGATTAAAATCTAAACTAGTCATATAATGATTCACTATTATTATTTCTTTAAAAATCCTATACTTTCATGCTGACCTTTATTCTGTATTATTAAAAATTTTGAAGAAATTTCAGTAGACTTATAAATATACTAAATATTCAACAAAATAAAAGTTGAAAACTTGCATATTCAAATGATTTATGGGAATGTTCCTTAAACATTTCTGCGTGCCTCTCCAGCCATTAAAGTAAGTTTTTAAATTAAGACATCGCCATACATTATGGGGACCATTATAAGTAAATTCCTAGTGAAGACTGCGGACACCCCTCAAAGCACCTACCACCAGTGCTGAGGAGCAGAAGGGCAAGGGCGCCCTCCCGGCACGAAGCTGCTCCTCCAGGCCCAGCAGGCGCTCCTCCAGCTGCAGCTCCAGGTCCTGGAGTTCCATTCGGACTGAATTCCTCAAGCTCTGGAGCTGATCAACTTCGTATCTACCAGTAAGGTGACAGGCACAAGGCTTGAAAGAAGCAGTCTGGGGATTCCTATTCGTAACTCACTTGTCAACTAATAAAGACTAACTGAAGGTTCTGAATTCCCAAGTTCTATAAATTAGCTCAACTGCAATTGCAGTAGGTGTAACCACAGGACAATCATTCTTTCTTCCCCTATTATCTCTCACCAAGATCCCCAACACTGAAAAAGATTACAACAACCATCTCCCTCAATACATTGAAGGCAGAGAAGTTTACTTAGGAAAACAACTATGCTGAATTTTATCTATACCGGCTCACCAAACAGATACAGAATATACAGCAGAAGAAATAGAAGGTGGCTAAAAGATAAAACTGACAGTGGTTCTTGGCATAAAAAGCATTTTGAGGGACATTAAGCAAAATGAACTTTTACCTCTCCTCTTCAGTCATATGATGATAAACCATGGTTTGCTGACGCAGCATTGCCAATTCTAAATCCATCATTTGCGTTCTAAACAAATTCAGGCTCCGCCTCATTACCTGGAGCTCCTGAAAAGTATTCTAAAATGCAATATAACAAAATTATACTTCTGTCACACAGACAGTTTTGTATCACAAAGACCTAAGAAAGAACTTACTTCATACAGAGGTAGAACAGATGATTTCTGAGTCCTGTCTGGAGCAGCAGCAAGGTCAGGTCCTCTCATCATAGGGTACTTCAAAAAAGGAGAAAAAGAATTAAAACAATGTTGAAGTGTCTACCTCCAAATTCTCTAACATGTTAAAAATGCAGTACTTTGAGCCTACATACTTTTCCTTCTCTCAGGCTAAAAAACCTCGGATGGTAAGCTGGGATCAAAGAAATCAGTTCCAAAAGTTACCTACTACACCTAGCTGTTCTAGCTCTTAAGTAAATTTGAGAGGAGGAAGGGGCAAAGAAGTGGGGGTAGTTCATCTATGTCTCACAGGATTTCCTCCTTGCCTTGACAAAGCAGAAAAACAAAACAAACAAACAAACACTCAAAATGTAGAAATAACAGCCAAACGTTATTTTGAGATTACATTAACTACTGGCAGTGGCCAGTGTCAGATTACCCAAAAAGCAAGGTAAGCATGGGTTTACATGTGCTTACTTACTAATCTGTAGTGAACAATTTCACATTTTTTCACCTCATCAAAGATTCTGTCTCTAGGTATGGCTGGCATCTGTCTCTCTTCCAACGCCACAGTATCTTCCTACAGAATCAAAGATTCTTTTCAAATTTATAATCCCTGACAGACGTGGAGTACCTAGTAAGCAAAGTAAGCATAAGAATGGGCTTACATATGCTTACTTACTAATCTATAGTGAACTATTTTACATGTTTTCACTGGTGAAACCCATGTAAACTGTTCACTACAGATTAGTAAGCAGGCACATGTAAACTCGTGTTTACCTTGCTTTTTGGGTAATCTGCCCCCGGCTGTGGCAAGCAACAAGCAGTTATTACATTCCTTCTTAGATATTTGAGTACCCACTAGATGCCACTACTTTAGGCAATAAAGACAGTAAAGACTAAAACAGTCATTCTTTGCCTAAGAGGGGTTCTCCCAGTCTAAGAGAGGAGAAAGAGAAGTGAACAAATCATTATCATAATAGGAGGAGGAATGCCAAGACGGAAATAATCAAACAAAAGTCTAGATCAGGGGGGTTAGAGAAGCATTCCCAGCAGTGGTGACACTTGAGCTGAGCCTTAACAGTACGTAGGATTTCATCAGGCAAAGAAAGGCAAGACTGGGGGGGCATTCCAGGCAAAGAAAGTGGCATGTGCAAAAGAACAGGTCCCCTAAGAATATTTAGAGACCAGCATGCAGTTCAGCGTGGCTGGAGCTCATGTAGTATGTGAGACTGGGGAAACAGGTAGAAGCCAGGTCATGAAGAGCACCTGTCTCCTGGCTCAAGGTGGGTGGGAGGGGGGCAGTAATCAGTTGAGGTACTGATGGGACACCCAGCGGAAGATGACCACACTTGGAGCAGAACAAGCTGGCCTAGAAAGAAAGGTGCACTGTGAAGGTACAGTTGTACAGAGCCTGAGGAATCCCAAGCATCACATAATTACAGCTGAGAGGTTAAGCATTTCACTCAGAAAGAACTACATTTTATAAGGAGGAAAAAGACAATCCATTCTGGTTAGACTAAACCACTAGAAAACAATCATCAGAATAAAATCAGTATTTACAGAAAATGTATTTTACTCTAACTTAAAGTTACAACTTTTAACATTTACTTACTTTCAAAGTGGCTTCCCATCTCCCACTTTATGGTCCTAAAACATGCATTTACACATGCTAGGCCTCCTGACTCCTAGATGAACACTGACCATTACCTTACATTATCATTTTCTTCATTTCCACAATTGTCTAAATATAAGTAAGTTAGAAGAAGTCTTTCTAGATCTCTGGGAAGAAAATTTGAAATGTTGAAAGCCAAATATGAAGGCAGCTTCCTAACTGTCAAGGATTTTCTGAAAATTATTTCCAGTCTAATCTGAGAGTGATGACTTTAAAAGCAACAAGACACACAGACCATTTTGTTCATATTCACACTTTACCTGATTTTCTTCTGTTCTGAGATAGTTCCAGTCTATGCATCAGTGGAACTGGACTAATTTTCACACAGGGGACCAGCATCAGGAGTCAGTAGGTGAAGGGGAAAGCTTAGTCAGAGAGGTACCAGCAGAACCAGGAGAGTGTGCTGTCACAGAAGCCAAGGGGAAGAACACTTAGAAAAGAGAGATGTGGTAAACACTGTCAAAGAGCAAGGGAAAAGAGAAAAAGTACTCTGAGAAGAAAGATTTTGTTTAACAATAGAGAAGACTTAACAAAGTTTATAGACTAAAAGGAAGACAGTTGAGGAAAGGCTAGAAAAGAAGGATACTTAATGAGCAAATCTCTCCACTAGGGAAGTCAGGAGATTTATGAGAAATTAGGATTAGTTACAGCTTTTTGTTTGAAACAGGAGGGAAGCAGATAGGAAGAGGGTATAGACAGGTTTAGGTATGTAAGAAAATGACATTGAGGAGGTTTTCTAATGGGTCTTAGCTTCTCAGTGAATTAAAAAGTGGTCAGATTGATACAATTGGTAAGTTTTTCTAGACAGACTTTTTCTCATACCTGTGAAAGATTCTGCAGTGAGTTTCTAATATCATGCAGCACTCTTCGCAGCTGCATTTCAATGGCAGAAGGAGGGTTCACAGAGCACACCCGGTAAGGGTAGGCAGCATGTCTATGTAAGTAAGGACATCCAAACGGGGAAGAGAGGACACTACAGGTGGCACCAGATATGTTGGGGACACTGTGAGTGCTTAGAGTTCTCATGTGCTCACACAGGGGCCTCTCCTGCCATTCAGAGTGGGCAGAATGAAGGGAGCAGGAGGACTGCGATATGGGTGCTGGAGCAGAAAATGAGCAGGTGGGAGTCCTTCGATGACGGCACTCCTCGAGCCGGTTCACCTCACTCTGGGAGGCTTCTTTCTTCACAGATGATGGAGAGATGAAAATAGTGGATTTAACTAGAGACTGGCCATCCTGCTCAGTCACCTCTTTTTCTAATTCCTGCTCTTCTTCAGGTGTGTACTTGTAGGTGAAGGAAGGTGGACTGCATCTGGTCTCTTTTCCTGGAGACAAGCGAACATTGACAGCAGACACAACCCTTACTGGACTCAATAATGTGGTTGGTAAAGATTGAGACCTTCTTAGAGGATAGCCAGCTTTTGCAAATAAGTACCTCTGTTTTAATAGATCTTTCGATTTTATCAGGCTACGTCCTACTCTTTGACCAGACAGACCATGAACCTTCATTTGAGCTCTTTGCAAAGCTGTATTAACTTTGTCCACAGAAGAGGGAGTAGGCACCACAGTATCTTCAGAACCCTTAGCATTGCATTTAGCTTCAATAGACGCCAATGATTTAAGAATATGGTGTGTGGTATACTGGACAAATTCATATTCACTGATTTTATCCACATCACTTTCAGCACTTTCTTCCCTTGGTAGCTCAACTCTCTGGGATGGAGACAAATCCTTTTGAGATTCAGTGATTTCAGTCATGCAGTCCTCTTGATGACGGGTGGACTGTTCATTTCCATTAGCCTCGACAGTCTCATGTTTGGGAAAATTCTGGCTATCTAACTTGCTTTGGTCAGCACTTGTCACTACCTTCTCTCTTCCCTTTAGAAGAGGGACAACAGACTCCTCCTCAGATTCATTAAAATAAGGCTGGTCTTGTGCTGTTGGTGTGATTAGGTCTTCACCAAATGATGTGACTGTTGTCTCACTGTCACAACTGTCAGCACTACTCCCCATGGCTTGCAAGGGCTCCTGAACCTATGAAAGGAAAACAGGTGGAAGGATGAAGAATACAAACAAGAAATATCAGAATTAACAAAACTACAAACTGAACTGATGCTTCTCTATACTTCTAAGGTCTTCATTTTGGCCATGGCCCTGGTGCTGCTCAAAACTACTTCCAAGAGCCATAGATTGGTACATAGTGTTAGTTATCAAATAAGTTAAATATTGAAATATGATGATAATAAAAAAAATAAGAAGAATTGGAAAAACAAAAAAAAAACAGGTTAATGACCAAAATGTATATACTGGTGTTAAAAAAAAGAAGAAAAAGGAGAAGCTTGTTTCTACACTTTCTCAGAGAGAATTCCAAACTTTTATTTTCCTTATCACCTTTCCAATGCCCATCAACTCATCTTTGAACAAATGACACTGACTCACAGAGAAAATGGAAACAAGCAAACAAAATTTCTTAATGTTTTCTCCAACATCTACAAGCTTTCCCATGCCTCTCTCCTCATTCCTTTCTTCCTCCACTCTGAAAGGAAACTGAACTGCGTCCCTTCTTTTCAAAGCTAATTCCTACAACCTGTGCTTATACCATGTCTTCTTCAAGACTAGAGTATTTCTATACAGTCTCAGATTTTTCTGAATCAAACTCTCCTTTTCTTGTAGCCTCTTCTCTTAGCTAAACAACTTCCCTAAGCCATTAATACAGCAAAAAGATATACTACCCTGAAGCAATCAATCACCCTTTGAAATAATAGTTTAAATTCTTATTTTCTGTATCAATTTACTCTCCAACCCATTATAATCAATCTTTTGCCTCATCTACTCTATTGGCAGTTTCTCCAACATCAATCTCCTAATGGCCAGATTCTCATCTTTTCACTCTGAGAGCCATGGCTTTCCTTTGAAAGCCTTTCCTCTACCTCTCAATTGTTTTGCCCACCTGCCTTTCTGAATCTCCTTAGACACTTCTCTTGTCTGGCTACTTCTGTTCCTAATGGATCTTTTTCTGGGTTCTCTTCTTCCTTAGTCCAGTTTGAAAAATTACCTTCTAAATGTTTTAAACACTTTTCAGGTATGTTTCATACAGGTCTCACATAGACTAAGCTCCTTGAGGTTAACAATGTGCCTGTTTTCTGGGTTCTCTAACACACTCTAGCCTGAAAATCACTGTAACACTCAGCACACTGTGAATCTACACAGAATGTCAGTAGAAAAAACTCAGATGGAACAGGTTAAGGATCAAAATAATCTGTTTACTGATGATACAAAAAAAGCTTTCCCACACACACACTTTTTAAAAACATTCCATCAGAAAGAGATGAAGAATTAGTGAAACACAAAATCTGTAGTAAAATACATAGGTAACATCTGCATCCCGTTTTATTCTGTCATTTGAAAAATAAAGGTTAGACAGATCAGTCTTGAAGTATATAACTATCAAAAAATAACCTTAAAATGAAGATAATCAGAGTCTATGACAAATGAGATATTTACCTGAAGATGATTAAGGGAGAGGCAGTCTGTCGGATCTTCAGCAAAACCACTGCTGTCAGAATGCTGACTGGCAGTACGTAATAGATGATCTACCAAATAATAAAGCAGTTATACAAAACTGCTAAATAATAAGACTTCAATGACAGCAATATTATTACATATACATGGTTTCCAACAGATATATCTTACATAGCGTGGATTTCTTCTTCTTAGAAAAGTATGTGTTACTTACACAAAACTGTGGTATCAAAGTAGAGGAGGTCACTCAAATTCAAACAAAAAGTGAATTAAATCTATCAGAAATTCTCAGTGTTCAGTTGTGGATCGAGCTATAATTTTAATGCATTTTGGCAAACCTAATTAATGTTTCCTATTCTTGAAGGACAATTGGCTGAAATAATAAATGTCTCTAATAAAAATAGAAGTCCCAAAGTAAATGTCTTCCAATATGTTAAGATATTTGGTCTTTGTAGGTAATATTAGAAGTTTAAATATATAGTGTGCAAAAGTTCTATTGTTTTCCTAATTAGAAAATAAGAATACAATTGAGGCCAATAAATTAAGTAGTTTGTATGCAAACACACTTAAATATCTCTTATGTTTCAAATAATTCAAACATAACTTGTAAATTATGAAATAATTTTTGCAAAAAAACTGTAAACTTCAACTATTACATAATATCGTTAACTGTAGAAAGCAAAAAATCTGTTTATTTTCCATGCTTCAAAACTCTAAATCCTAGTTATTATAACCAAAAAAAAAAACTAAAATAATGAAAGGCTAGCTAAGCATAACAAACATGCTCACACTCCCACCTATCCTACCATAATGGACAAGAGAGGCCTTCACAGTTACTACACTTACTAAAGGAGATACTCCATAGGACAGCAAAGTTCCTCAGAACTTCAAAAGCAGCAGGCTAAAGAGTTTACCAAATCTGCATTCATCTAAAATTTGAATTATATAGAGGCAGAAACAGATAATGTTTGAATGAAATCCAAAACCATTTAAATAAAGTTTGCCTGACTTTGAAAAAAAAAAAAAAAAAAATCCCTGTGTAGCTTCAAGTTCAACATGAAGCAACAAGAAATGGAGAACAAAAATTTTCTTTTGAAAGACTTAGGATAATTCTGTAATATGCTATTTTGAAATTAACAAAAAATGTATAAGGAAATATAAGGAATGAATCCATATCCTTGATAAAGCCTAGGTAAAATGAAATAATGGTGAAATTGAATCACACTAAGTTGTAACCGTAGGTACAAATTACACATTCTATTGAGAAAATTATTAATGTCTTATCCCTGTACTTTTTTTTCCTTTTTAAACCAGATTGTCAGCAAAAAGTTTGCTGACTGAATCAATAACTATTTCTTCAAAGCAACAACATAATTAAGCGGTGGCTTAAATGATTTAGAATTGAAATTGCCTTTTGGAGTTTGGGTTTGGGGAAGGGCAGTTGCCATAGAGCCCAGGCAAGCCAGAGTGACCAGGTCTGCCTCAGGTTCTCTCTGCTAAGACTTATTTTATCTGCAGCAAAGCACAATCTATGTCAAGTTCACCTCACAGTTTTTTCACAGTTAACCTGAAATCACACAGGTCAGTCTAACTAGATTGCTTAGGCTTCGGAGCAGGTGTCAGATAGTGGCAAGAACAAGGAGGCCTGGATGCAAGGTCCCTGCTCTGCTTGACCACCATAGCAGTATCGTCTCTCCCCTGCAAGATGGGGCTAAAAATTCTTCTATCTATCCCACAGGGCTACTGAAGGAACTAGGCAGAAAGTAGGTAAGATGACCTTGTAAGGTCAAATCAGGAAAAAAATAAAGCTATTTTTTGGTTTTACCAAAAGCAAAACTAAACAGTTCTCTACAGTAAAAGGTAGAATTAAAAAGGAAGAATTATGCCCCTGTCCTAACTAAAGATCATTTTACTATTTTATTATTAACTTAAAACAATTTGAAAATGGTAATATTTTTCCTATGCCACCAGAAATAAGAGATCTAGTACTGACAAGAGGAAGAAACAAATACAAATACAAAATACAATCAAATACAAATACAAATACAAAACACCCTCCCTTCTTTCCAAACTTAGTAAGCACTGTCTTAAAAAGACCCTAATTCTTAATGTTATTTATCTGCCTTTTGAGGCATGGCAAGCTGCTTTTTCCAATATAATATAGTCCCTATCTATCTACTTAAAGGATGAGAAGCTCTGGTGACACAGTGTGTAAGGCATTTGACTGCTAACCAGAAGTTGGTTAGCACTCTGCAGAAGGAAGACTGGGCAATCCACTTCCATAAAGATTTACCTTGGAAACCCAAAGAGGGCTGGTATGAGTCGGAATTGACTCGACTCGATGGCAATGAGTTTGGTTTTCTTTTTCTTTTTTTGCTTTATCCACTTAAAGCGTAGACTACTTGCTAGCCATGAACTTTGCCTTGTAACTTACGGCTCTGAACATTGTATAAATTTTATTTCAGAAATTTTTATGAAGAAAGTCCAGAAACATACACATACATAGGGTTTTATGGAATTAAAGGGGAAAAAATTAAATAGGAAAGTTTGTTTTTTTGTCTGGCCAGAACTGCAATGATCTAGTAAGCTCTTGTTTCTTAGTATCATATTGCAATAAAAGAAAATGCATATGCAAACTGTATTTTATGAAGTAATTTCAGAGCACAGGATAGAATAAACATGCAATCTCCTATTCCAGGAACATACACATGAACCTTCGTTTTGTTTTTTAACAAAAAACCTTTGTTTTTGTTTTAAAAATAAACAGTTCCACCTTCAGTAACTTCTTTACTTCCTCTGTCCCTTTCTCTAAATCTCTAAAACTTTGTGAATTTAAAGAACAGATAATTTTTCTTGTTGCAAGTTAAAAGTGAAAGGAATGGATTCAAAGGCTCTTTCGTCAATAATTAATAATTCAAGAGAAGAGCGTGTCAGTCACTGATCTTTGATCTTCATTGCTTGAATTTAATTCCAGTAAGTTTAACTATTACTGAGATACTGGTGTTTTTGCTAGAGGCATAGTCATGGTTTATACCCAGGAGCCATGTTTAAATAATGAAAGCCCCAAGACAGATAAAACAGGGGTATTTTCAATTATAACAATGTTAAAAAGTAGCCTAATCTGTTGCTCTTTCTAATCTCTTCCCATCTAGCCCTCACACAGAGCTGAAAAATATTTCAAGGACACAGAATTATTTGAAGAGGTCATTATAGGATAAGCAAACTATATTAGTTTATGAGCACTAAAGTCAAGAAAATACAAAATGAGTAGTCTAACAAAACAATAATGAAACACACGTGCTTGTGTTCTTATTCTTCTTATACTTAAAACCCCAAAACCCACTGCCATCAAGTTGATTCTAACTCACAGCGACCCCTCCTAGGGTTTCCAAGGTTGTAAATTTTTACAGAAATAGATTTTCTCATCTTCCTCCCACAGGGCAGTTGGCAGGTTTGAACTACTGACTTTCTAGTTAGCAGCCAAATGCTTTACCCATTATGCCACCAGAGCTTTCTTAAACTTCAAGGTACATCAAATAAACCAGCAACCCTTTTGTGTTACTCTTGGGAAACAGCAAGTATCATTCCACTTACCTCTTTTTGATTTTGTCAGACCTAGCTGGTATGTGGCTGGAACATGAGGAGCCTCTCCTTCTGTACTTTGAACCTAAGGAAGGGATTAAAGTAGTTAAAACTAAAAGAATCGATGCCAGGGTAAACTCATGATAGCAATGCATTAGGCAAATGGGTCTAACTAAAACAGAGCACCCAAGCATTTTATATTTAAATACGCCCTCTCCTCACCTATCAGCATGGTTAGGTTCCACATACCAGACTGTTACACAAAATCGGTGTTATATGAAAATGAAGATTAACACATCAGATCACAAAATGGAAGATGACTGTATCATTACATAAATGCCAAATTGTATCATTACAGACTGCCAAACCACTGAGAATCACAGCCCAGCCAAGCTGACACCTAACCTGAACCATTACTGCCAGTGTTACACTTGCCTTGAACCTCAGTGCTCATTCCTGGTAGATGTACGTCATTAAAGCACAGAATAGAGAGGAGATTTTTCACTATTGCCATAAATGCAAAATGTTGGATAATGAGATAGTCGGTGAATGAGGAGAAGGTGCAAATGCAAAATATCACATCTCAAAATTCTTGTAATACTCCACAACTCAATTTATATTTTCCAGTCAACAATACAAGTGTGTAACAAGCAAAGAAAAATGACTGAATGTATAAACTACTTAAAAAAAAAAGTTGCCATTAGAAGAGAAACAGATCCATAAGCAAAAGTACTTCTTTAAATTTCAGCTTCAAAGTGTAGGCCAATCCTAAGAGAAACATGAATTTACTCATGGGCATATCTGAGAAAATTAGAAGTCTTACATCTTTGATAACAGAAGAGCATGCTCCCACAGCAAAATTTTCTCAAATTTTACAAATTTTCAGGTATCACTAACTACTCACATGTAAGAATGACTGGTCCTGACATAAATTGGGAGTTATAAATAATACAGCAAGTTTCATTTCAGAACTCAACTGTCAAAAGATCTTAATCATATTCTCTCTGAAAACCATGATCAAAAATTGTTATCAAAGCCACAAAGTTGTCCCTTTGTGCTATGTCTTTTTTTCTTCTTCCTACCCACGTAACTACATAATTTAGTCATTTTCAGACTGTTTATTCTCCACCTCCACCCTGTAAATGCTCTATATGGTTCACCATAGCTAACTCTTTAGAGTAAGATTAAGCATTTGGAGGTAAAACACTTTATTTAGCCAATGATTAGTCCTTAAAATGGTAAATAATACCCTAATAATGTGTGCAAAAGGAGCCTTGGAGGCAGAGTGCCTAAAGCCCTTGGGCGCTGACTGAAAGTCAATGATTCAAACCCGTTAGCTCGTAGGGGAAAGATGTGGCAGTAGGCTTCTGTAAAAATTACAGCCTAGACAGCCCTTTGGGGAAGTTCTATGCTGTCCTATAGCATTGCTATGAATCAAAATCAACTCTATGGCAATGGCTTTAGTTTTTTTGGTTTTAATGCTAGGCAAACACAGATTTTTGAGCAAGTGTGTTTTACGTAGAACTCCATTAGTACTGAGTTACGAACCTATTCAACAATGAGAAATATTCTGTAAGAATGCTAGTTGTTAGTGAAGGATCAACATGAAATAGAGTCCAAAGGTTAAAAATATTATTGCCCAATTTAAAAATTACCCTGGGTTGTGATATAATTTGTTCCACTGAGTTTGGTGAATCTAAGTTTATGAATCTTTGAAAACCCAAAAGCACATTTAAACTATGACCTCTAAATCAGATACATAAAATAGATTTTATTACTCTTATTACTTAAAAATTATACTCTTCAAAGCAACAGACACAAGTTCAACAGGAAAACCATTGTTTTGTGTACAAGGGAACAAAATGCATTTTCTTTTTATATTCAACAAAAGGTCTATTATTAGTCTCTGTTCAGGCCTAGCCTACTTCAGACCATTTTCTGTAAAGAAAGTATCAACTCAACCAAAATGTATAACAGGAACCCAAAAGCCTCTTTAATTATATTATAGGAATCCCATTTTACATACAGGAGTAGAATACAACCAAATTATAATCTCTAACTTTAAAATGTATAATTACCACATTTTCTATTTCTTTAGACTTCGAAAATCATTAAAAATCTACTTCCGTAGTAATACTGCCTCAGAAACCCAAGGAAGGTCGCTATGAGTTGGGTCTGACTAGATGGTACATAACAACATTCATGTAAATTTAAAATTTTTCATGATAAAAATGAAATACAACAAAAAAATCCCACTAAAACAAAACTATTTAATCACTTGGCCTCAGTCTTTTGGGATTAAAGCTATATGAAAAGTATTTTATAGTAACTCACATATTTGGGTTACTTCATCTTAAACGTGTTTTCATAAAACAAAGAATATACTTTTTGAGTCAATGTCTTGCTAACATGCAAGATACCTACTTTGTTTTGTTAACAAATCTGCCAAATTTATCTTGACTAACATCAATTTTCTAGGCATACTATTACTGTATTGTATTCTACAGAAAAGCTATTATGAGATGTTTCATCTCAACTGACCCTTAATCAAAAGTTCAAAAAGACATTGTATAAAAGCTTCTTCTGAAAATCATAGCTAGAGCTTTAGAAATTATAATTCTATCTAATGGCATCTCAAAAACTTCAGAGAACATCATTTTTCTAAAGGAGTGGTATGTGGCTATGCCTCAGATGACCTGAGTGCCCGTCTAATGTCTGACTCTGACAACAAAACTGACCTTTAGCAAGTTATATGATTTAGTCAGAAGCAGCACGTTTTTAGAAATACCTGAATTCAAGTCTTATCCACACCATTTGCTAGCTAAATAGTTTCAAATAATTATCTGGAAAACACATCTCAGTTTTCTCAACTGTAAAATAAAGATTAAAATGCCTACCTTACAGGTCCTTACAATGAGATTATAGGTAAAAGTACTGTTGTTACATAGTCAAGGAGTCAGGATTTACACCAGGAGACCCTTCCCCTGCCACCCTGCTGTACTCTGTACAGTGACCTGACTGCACCCCTGCACCCCACAGAGAGACTAATATCAAAGGGAAGACTGCATCCCTCAGAAGGATGTTAAACACTGTTGCTGGAAATTAGTATAAAATGTTAGGGAAAAAAAGCAGGAATTCTTTCTCATCTATAAAGTGAGAAAACTAAAAATTGAATTCAAGATACCCTTCTATACTAACAATTCACCATTCTATAATTTCTTGTAAGCTTTTTATCTTTTTTAAAAAAAAACTTCATATTTTACATATACATAAATATGGCTTATTTTTATACTATCAGGCCATGATTTAAGTACTTTTTTTTTTCAGTTAACTTAGAGTTCTTTTAGGTAAAAGTCAGTAACAAAACTCAGTGGTTAATGAGCTGTGAGGTAATACTCATACATATGAGTTCAGAGTTCATATTCCATTGCTGAGACATTGCAGACACAATCCTTCCCTTCACGAACATAAAGTTAAATTTGGGAAAACTTAACTACTCATCAAATATCTCATAAATTTGTGATTATTTTAACTCAGGCCAATAAATAGAAAAGAATGCTGAAACTTAACGGCTATATAAGTAATGAGGTACATTAGTTAAATAGCAGTCAGTGTGAAGACAGGACTAGGCACCATTATTTAAAAAGAAGTTAAAAAAATTGTATATATATTCAATCACAACTATATTTGAATATAATTTATAGAGAAGACACAGAAAAAACTGTATGCAGACAAATACAGACATAAGTTCTCTTTCTTCTTACATTCAAGTGTGAAAAAATTTTCCTTCACATCTAAAAGAACTGCTTATTGAGTAGGATCATTGTACTTTAACCATGAATCATTCACGCTACTGATCTGTGGCACCAGAGTTACCACGACGTATTCAAAATAAGCCATTCAAGAAAACACAGGAACTGCCTAGTCAAGTTATTAAGAATTAGAAAACTCAAGAGTAGAGATTTGTAAGCTTTTGACACAAAGGAATGCTTTAAATAGTCCACAAAATAATTTTTATAAAGCAAACAGACTTTTAATTGAGAAATAGTCTCTTGCTTTTTTTAAAAAAAAAGTAAATACAAGAAATAGCCACTTTCATTTTCATAGACCTAGATCAACTATTTATCTCTTTTTACATTTAAATATTCTGCTTTGCTCCTGGTAACAGTCAAATAAGCCTGGCAATTTTTTGCTACTAATAATTCTTACCTCCTGCCTCATAGGGACTAGGCAACTTCATGCACAAAGCCACGTCTCAACATTTTCTCCTATTTAGCCACCCCAAAGGATCTGACAGTCATTAATGTGAAGATCTAGCATACTGAGAGAAACAGAGAGCTCTCACTTGTATTTACTAGCTGTTTTTACAGGAAGAAAATTCCCAGTAGGAATGAAACCTCAACGGAAAAGGGTTAAAAAAAAAAAATAGTAATAACCCACTTTGAATAGGATCTAAAAGTCTGCTTCAGTAAGATTGTTCTCTTCATTTGTCAATATGATTCAAATCATGCTTGGGTGAAGAGGAAATAAAAATAACACATATTTCCCTTCTTTATTCATTGTTTTATAACTCTCTTTAAAGTTCCCAAAGGGATAGAAACAATTCTAGGAGGTTTTTTTAATCTGTATTTTAGTAATATCTAAACAAAAAGGATTCATTACTCTCAAAATTCTTTATATTTACTGTGTAGGTATGGTGACCATATATTCTTTTCTAAAAACAAATAAAAAATATTCCAGTAGTCTTCAACCACCAAAGCACATAATTTTACACTTCAAAAAAAACGTTCACTTCAATGCCACATTACTTTCATCTTGCCAACAGAAGCAGCGCAATGTGTGTGTGTGTGTGTGTGTGTGTGTATAAGTCTATCATGACCAGGTGTTAATTTGCTACCCAAGTACATCTAGCATTTTATAAACATGTAAAAGAATTTGTGTGCTGTATCTTAATATTTTTAAGATAAAATAAAAAGCAATAAATAGTCTAGAATTCAGGAATTCTACTCATAGCAACCCTCATTGGGCTTCTGAGGTGATAAATTTTTATGTAAGTAGATTGCCCCATCTTCCTTCCAGGAAGTGAGTGGCTGGGGGGTTTGAACCATCAACCTTCTAGTTAGCAGTCAAATGACTTAGGCGCTTTGCCACCAGAGCTCCTATACAAATGAAAAAAAGAACTTCTTTGACTAATTTGAAAATACACATGTAAGAGTGTCTTCCAGTCTGAGTCATTATCAGATTTGCAACCACTTAGCACAATTTTGTTTAAGATGTTTATATTCTGCTATTGTATTAAAACATCTGATTGTCACAGAAGAGGGTCTGTAACAAAAGGCAGGAACCAGCCCTTTAACTGAGTGCCAGGAAAAGGTTAAACCAAAACAAAGTCAAAAAGAAATCAAAAGAGATTTTAATGGTGACTTCTACTATACTCATATAATAAGAAATAAACTATATTAGAAATTAAAGAAATATAAAAGTATATAAAGTGAAAAAAAGCTTACAAGAAACTAAAAATATTCCAAAGAGCTACTCACGTTCCCTTTTTAGTTATAGAATTAAATTACTGAGATACATTCAGAGACCAGAAAAAAAGGAAAACAGCTATATCAGCAAATGAAAATTTGTAATAAATGAAAAAGCTTCACTAATCTGACAGACACATAATAACCTAGGAGAATATTTATGGGCAGAATCAATTATCATCATTTCCAATTCCCTAAAACTATGGTGTGTGATTTTAACACTTCTATGACATATTACTAAAACTAATCTTTCTGTGATAGATTTAATAAAGAGAAAACAAACCTTTTATGATTTATAGTCACATCCTTCACCAGTACATATATACCTCACTTTCTCATGTATGAAATAAGACCACCGCTGCCTGACTTACAGATTGAAGAGAGTAAGTACTTCATGGGCCTAGTACAGCACCTGACACATGACAGATACATGATAAACTTCATCTATACAGTTAAATCTTAATCCGTTATTCAAAAGCAGTTTTAGCCAAACTTCAGAATGAATATCCTTCTCTTATCTCATTCAAAATCTATGCAAACTAGAATTATCACTGGGTAAAAATATAAAGTAACAAAAATTGGCCTTCTGAGTGTGCAGAAACCCTATTTACTGGCTTTTCAAACCTTCAAGGTTCCCTAGCTTGCCCTGTAGATACATAATATCTTCTGTTTCTATTCCTTTACCAAAATCTATCCTCAAAGCCTTCTTTGCATTTATCCCTACCAATGAGACAGGTTAAGAAAAACTTGCCCCAAAGCACAGTGCAATTCAGTGCCAGAGACAGAACTCAAATTCCTATTTAATTTCACAGCCTATGTTTTTAACTATCATGCAATACTGACTTGAGTATGAATATATTCTCTCAGGGATTTCCCATGCATCAAAATCTTACAATAAGAGAGAAAAGGGGGTGTTAAAGTTCAAGTATCAGCTAGTAGATCACAGAGGATCTAGAGAGAATTATGAACTACCCCAGCATCATGAAATCAGTCTTAACCCTTGGTTGTGAAACACAAAATAAAAAACTCAAAAAGTCAAAGTGGCAAGAAAGCTGTTACATTATGGAGATTGCAAGCACTGTCATGAAACTGCTGTATGGAAGGCTGATCTGCTCTGTAAACTTTCATCCAAATCTCTCACTCACTCACTCACTCACACACACACACACACACACACACACACAAAAGCGTGGAGAGTCAAAATCAGAAGGATCAATTTTTCCAGTATAAATTTAGTAGTCAATTTTGTCACTTTATAAATATGTGTTGTTTCTTAGGGTTCAAACCCTAATTCACTACTTGTAAGTGTCTGTAATTTTTTTACCTACCTCTTCCATTTCGAAGGAGTCCTTCTGCTGTGCCATTATATTTCTTATGGATGGGTTTGTCAATGGTGCACAAGGCTCTTTTTCAGGTGTTGACACACGGGTATCTTTCAGCTCACTGCTATTTTCTAGCTCAATGTGGCTGGACATGTTGACACTGCTACTTAAATCAGATTTCATAATATCAGATTCCTCACCCAGTCTACTCTCATGACTTTGAGATGCTTTACTTTGTTCACCTTCAGTTTCTTGGTTGAAGTTACTATCTGCTTTATCATAAAGTCTATTAATGTCAGCATTATCCATAACAGTTGCTGAACTACCTGATGCCTCTTCTTTAACTGTAGCCAACAAGAAAGATGAGTCTTTCTTCTTTATAATTTTTTGAGACTTTTGATCACTTTTATTAACACCTTCTTCAATCATTGCGACATTTAGAACCTTCCCTTTTTCACTTGCCGGGGGAGGCATGCTACCTTCTCCTTTCTCTGTTTTATCAACACATAAATTTAGTTTTGATAGTGTTTTCATTAAACGATTTGCAGTGTTACTTCGAGTTAAAGGTGGAGGTGAGTCTGTCTCCTTGTTTGAGGTCACTGAGGACATACTTCCAATTCTCTGCAGGGGAGTCCCAGAGACTTGGGAATATAAGGAAGAAAATGCATTGGCTACAGTAGTAAGCACTTCAATTTGACGAAAACGGCCTGTAAGAGGAAAAAATAATAAGATATATGTATATACACACATAAAAATACGACTTATACTACTGCGTATGTGTATATACATGTGTGTAAATATACATATATCTTGTATAGTTGTTCAGAATACCAATAACTTAACTTAGATCAGATTATGAAACAAGATCTTTTCGTACCTAACATTTATAGTCTCTACATTTATGGAGTGGGAAGACAGAGAAGTTTTACCCTAAGCTCAGAATTTACATTTTAAAAAATCAGAAATAAGCACAAACCATGAGGACAATGCTGAAAAAGAAAGAACAAACTATTGATCTGCAGCTATGATTCCGTTTTTCAGTTCTCAGACTCCATCAAACCTCTTCTAAATATTTTCTCAAGAAAATGCATGTAAATTCTTATTTTATACCTCATTTGAAGGAAGTCACAGACCTCTTAAAGCTAATCTACTGGTCCCGTAGAGACCTCGTATTTGGAAACTCTGGTCAACGAGGAACAAAACAGGCAAAGATATAATATGAGTAGAAATGATGAAATTAGTCCTGCTAAGTTATATTTATAGAAAAGCACAAGAAATTGGCTAATTTCATTTAATGCTTATAAGCCCCTTCTCTTCTTTTTTTCTTCTTGAGGAAAAACAATCTGGAGATAAGTAAAAGCATATGTATTAGGCTCTGCAAGTAAGTTATGGTAACAGTTAAAAGTAAAGAATCAGGGGTGGGGAAACAGGTATTTACCTCCATAAATAGAATAATAAAAATTGAGATTATGCAAAACACTTACTGTAGGCGGAATAAAAACTTTGTTTTTAAATGAGATAGCTATTTATATACTTTTATGTGATTATTTTAAATCTCAGTTAACTTTCCAGTGCTATTTCTTATACCAGTAAGGTTTTAAACTATCTTGCTGTGGATGCTATAATTTAAAATACAGGCTGCTAATACTCTGGCAGCATAATGCCTAAGGTACCTGACTACTAACCAGAAGGCTGGTGGTTCAAACCCACCAGCCACTCCTCGGAAGGAAGATGGTGCAATCTACTTCCATAGTGATACTGCCTCAGAAACCCAAGGAGAAGTTGTTATGAGTCAGAACCAACTCAATGGCAGTGAGTTTGGGTTTTTTTGGTTTTGAACACTTAAAAAACCTTACTTGTTAAAGCATAATTTGGGTTTTCTACTTCCATCCGTTGCATTTGAGCACTCAAAAATACTTTAATATCTATCCCTCTGGCAAATGATGATGAATTAAAAAATCGTGATGGGATTTTAGAAGCAATATCTGGTTCATCTCGCCCAAATCCAAGATTATAAAGAATTTCTTCAGGATCTTCCTCATAAAGTTCCAACAATTCTGAAACACTACAAAAAAATAAAGACACATCAAAATATAAAATAACTTTACAGTCCATATCTCATTATAAATAAATAACTATATATTCTTGTTTTCCTCCGGTAAAATCTTTTTCTACAGCTTCAGCTCTTTAAACAATTATTTATTTCATCATTTTTATACATTGTATACTAAATGATATTTATAACTCTTAAAGAGAATCCATTTTCTCAAGCCGTTTGTAATAAGCAGCTAATCTCTATGAACACACATTAGAGAAATCTAAATGAATCCCACGTTATTATTATTATTATTTTTTTTTTTTTTGTCATTTTAAGAGACTCTCAGTAAAATAGCTAAAATAATTAAGAGGATAGAGGAGGGAGAACAAGTAATAAACAGATTAAAGAAGGGAAAAAAATACTTCATGAAGTAGGTAGAACCTTGGTAGTAAGTAACCTTCTATAGAACTTGAGCTTTTCTGCTATCTTTGGCTGTCCTAGAAGAGGCTATACAGGTAAGCACCTCAACCCAGGAAACTGAGGGAGGAGCTTACTTTCAATTCTCCTCTAACCACTTCCACTCAGGAAGCAGGAGTAAGGTAAAGAAAGTAGTGGGATACACAAAATAACCTCTTGCCCCAATTCTGTTGGGAATTAAACAATTGTTACCCTTTGCCTCTCATATCAGTGCCAAACCAAGCTTTCTAAGAGTCACTGAGAAAAACTGGAATGTTGGACATGGAAATTGGGAGGAAATTTCAATTGGTTTTCAGAGAAAATGCTTGTAATCCAATTGAACAGTTTGGTAACAGGCACACTTATTGCCTCATTTTAACATGTATTTTAAAAATCTTTGGTTTAACATGTTAAAAATAAGGGCTTAAATATCAAGCTTTAATTTAGAAAGGTTTATTCTGATTTTTAGGTCAGAGCTGACTCAAGTCCTAACAGATCGAGAATTTGGGCCAACTACAAGTAAAAGTTACTCTATTATATAGTTCCTCTTTCAGCCTGCTGCTAGGGCTCAAAATAATCATAACCTGGTTCCAGCAACATAATAGACTACATGTTACTTTCCATTTGATCTCAATTTAAAATAAATAAATACTCCTAACAGTTATGCTCTGGTAGCATAGTGGCTAAAGACACTTGCCTGCTAACCAGACGGCTGGCGGTTCAAACCCACCAGCCACTCCTTGGAAGGAAGGTTGGGCAATCCTACTTCCGTAGTGATACTGCCTCGGAAACCCAAGGAGGGGTCGCTATGAGTCGGGGCCGACTCGACGGCACATAACAACAACAACAACAGTGATGCTGGTATAGGAAACACTATGGATTCCTTTCCATTTCAAAATGGTAAAAGTAGATAATCTGTAACACAATGTAATTCTCTAATAATTTTATAATAAATTACCTTGAGACTGTCCCACTACTTTTCCCAGATCCCGTGGAATTCATACTTCTCCCTTTCTGATGAAACTGTAGTCTTCTCTCTTTGGCCACGATATTATTGCTATAAACACAATCAGATTATATTAAACTTATTTTTACACATGCTCTTCATTTTTAAAAAGAAAGAGAACAAACATGGTTACTTACCAGTTTTCAATTTGAGCATCACTTTCATGGAGGTGGTTGGCTATAGTTAAAAAGAATAAAAGCATAGGATAATTTTTAGTTGGACTGTAATTACAGGCATACCAGGGTTACTAAAGAGGTCCATTCCTAAGTCTTTAAAAATTTGTAGATCAGTTGGAACAGGTGCATATGGTTCTTATTTAGCCTTATTTTAAGCCAAGAACAGGCTCAAAGCCTTTTCCAATGATTAAAAAGTTGCATATGTAGCAAGTGAAAGTGACTGTGATGAAGAATTTCTGAGTAGAAATTGAAGTTGGTTCACTTTTGCAAAATGAGGGTAAATTTACATACAATTAAATGTCAAGTAGGAGTTGTCAGTAAGTCAGACATTGGTAATCTGGTGATTGCCTCTCCCAGGATATATTCATCAAGAAAGGAAGCCACATTATTATAGCAAGATGTCTAATATGCCAATTCTTGTCTTGGCTCATTAAATCTGCATCATTAAGAGTAATATACAGCTTGATAAAATAACTTTTTGAGGGTGTTTTTGTTTAGTAGCAATTTAAATTACTTCCACTTGAGCACTCAAACTAAAAAGATCTATAGATACACAATTAAATTTGTGTTTAACAGTTTAGAAAAAAGTGATAGGAAGAAATGCAGGATACATGTGGCATACAGACTTTTAAAAAAAAAAAAAAAAACCTCACTGCCATCAAGTCATTTCCGACTCATAGCAAACTCCATCGGTTACTTTGCAGAAATAGATCGCCAAGTCTTCCTTCCACTGAGCAGCTGGTGGGTTTGAACCGCTGGTCTTCCGGTTAGCAGTCAAGTCCCTTATCCACTACACCATACTAATTATTAAATTTAAAACTTCTAATAATGAATATAACCTTGAAAGCAAACTATGATTTAGCATTAAAGTGGCGATAATATATATGAATTTATCATTTTATTTAAGGCTGAAAAGTCACACTGGTTACAACCAATTTTTCATATATGTAATTTTTAAACTTCTAATTATTACGTTTCCTTTTAAAAGTTACCTTTCATTTTTACCCTAGAAAAACAACTTCTAAACTGATATTATAAATGTTAAGTTCAGAATAAGTTATATTAACTGCCTTTAACCTTTACAGACAAACATAAAGAATGAAATTAATTACAAATATATCTATTTCATCATCCTTGATATATCTGATTATACACACACACATACACACCATTCTGATCTGTAAAGTCATGGCATACCCAGCCCCTAGAAAGGTACCTAAAACATAGCACTCAATATTTACTGAATGAATGACAACAGCCTTGAAATAATTTTCATTAAATAATGAAATAGCTCTCACTTTCATGGGACTCCCTTGTAGGTTCTGGTTTCCAATGAAATCATTCATTACTATGAAACTACCAAAGCAGGTATCAAAAGCTCTATTTTAACAATACTCAAACATATTTTAATAAGAGGTTGGGAACATTTTCAACTGTGCTGATTGGGAAACTATCAGTTTAAGGTCTTTACAGAGCTTAGTCCTTAAAAGTCTATTAACTAAAATAATAAAAACGAATATATTCAGACACCCTAGTGTTTTCACTATTAAATCAAAATAAACCAAACTCATTGCTGTTGATTCAGTTCCACCTCACTGCCCCAGTGGCCCAGTAGTTAAGCACTTGGCTATTAATCGAAAAGTTGGTGTTGGAACCCACCAGCTGTGCCCGGCAGGAGAAAGATGTGGCAGTCTGCTTCCATAAAGAGATAAAAAGTACAACCCTGAAAACCCTATGAGGCAGTTTTACTGTGTTTTATTGGGTTGCTATGAGTTTTCAAGGTTGGTGCTGTTGTTATGTGCCGTCAAGTCAGACCTGATTGACAGTGAGCCCTCCTTGGGCTTCCAAGGCAGTATCACTATGGAAGCGGATTGCCCAACCTTCCTTCTGAGGAGTGGCTAGTGGGTTTGAACCACCAGCCTTCTGGTTAGCAGTCAACTGCCTTAAGCAATACTCTACCAGAGCTCCTTTTCAAGGTTAAAAGGTTCCAAATATATAATCTACCTTATAGGTTGGTTCAAAACAACAGAAGAGCAAGAATGTTAAATTCAGTGATAAAGTCACTATTTAGGCACTTACTATTTTAAAAGATTTAATAAAATCCCTTATTCTCTTTTTCAAAAAACCACACATTAATAACCCAGCTACCAATAACTGACTCAACCTACTGAAATAATAAATGTTCAAAGAGCTACAAAATAGCTTGTAAAATATGTAATTCTAAAAAAAAAAAAAAGTCTTAATTTACATTGTTGGAAAGCTTTACTATAAATCCACAAGAAAAGATTATATTATCTGTGAAAATTTAAACACAGAATAATACACTTTTAAAATGCTAATGGAGTCTGGGATAGACATCAGCATTATGATACCTAATTAAATTCTACTAACTCTGCTATTTTGTCTTTGTCTAATCTTCTAAAATCAAGAAAAAAAGAACACACTTAAAGGCAAAAGAAAGACGAGCTGCAGCTGTAAGAATGACATAAGGCTACCTCACACTAAAAACAAGCTTCAATTTCGTTTTCTCATGTATAAATATTTACGCTTCCTTCCGTCTGCAGCACAGTTCTTCCCTCAGTTATATCACCACTGTCTGCCCCAAACAGTTCCTTTAAGTATTTAAGTCTAAGGAAGGCATATGGGCATTTTACATTGGTTTTCAGATTCATCCCTGCATGTATCCTACAGGATAGATAATCAACATATAAAAGGAGGGTACTATGAAATGTATCTGAGTCATTTTCAAAACATTTAAACTTATCTCTGAAGATCCTAACCTGAAAGAACTGGACTTTCTCATTTTTCTACATTCTAAAAGAAGTATACGAAAATACAGTTCTTCTGAACAAACCAACCTTCAGCTCCCAACGACAAATCATCTTCAAAACTTCCTCCATTTCTCACAAGCACACCTGAAAGAAACATTTGAACATTCAGATAATTCAGATAATTTAACGTGATGTTTTATTCTTTCCCATCCCCCATAAAATTTTTGTTCTAGTTAAAATAAAGCAACTAAGCAAAATATTTTATAAGACATAGCAAGATACTTCAGTGCCTTACTATACTCAGAAATTATTCTGATTATACAATTTCAGGAAGCCATGACTCGAAGCCAGGTAAAGTTCTCAGAAGCTGGTCTACAGGCTATTTTAGTCTTATTCCTTTGAAAATGTTCTGTTAGATAACATATCTTATCCAAGAGTCTCATGGAAAACCAGATAGTGGAGCAATCATTCCTGTTACCCCCCACGTAGTAAGTCAGGAGTGCTCCAACTAGATGTTCCTGACTCTGTAAATGTTTTTTATATGCCTTGCCACTACCTGCACATTCTTGTTGTACTTTGAACTTTAGAATTCTGTCTTGTGCAGGTGGTAAAATTTCAGGTGTGGCAATTTGAGTTAATGTAAGCAAAGAAATGTTGCACTAAAGCTGACCAAGTTCACTCAAAATAGATTTTCCTTATATTTACTTATCTTATTTCTATACTTAACTAATCTTTGGGAGCTCTGGTAGCATAGTGCCTAAGGCACTTGACTGCTAACCAGAAGGCTGGCAGTTCAAACCCACCAGCCACTCCTTGGAGGGATGGTTGGGCAATCTACTTCCATAGTGATACTGCCTCAGAAACCCAAAGAGGGGTTGCTATGGGTCGGATTAGACTCCACAGCAATGGTTGCATTTGTGGTTTGCAACTAATCTTTATGAGCTCTAATTGGATAGTAAGTATTTACGTTTCCCACTACAGAAATATTCAGTAATTTGCTTAAACTCATCACTATTTTATGATCATGACAAGGTTTCTCCCTTTTGGCTTCCAGTTCCAAACATCATTTTTCAAAACAAACATAAACATCACTTTCTTCATTCATAGATGTACTTTCACCTAGAGAAAAAAATGAAGTGGGGTGCTCATAAAGAACAGATTTAGAAAGGCAACTTTCTCTTACCCTTGAGTGTACTACTGCTTTGGTCATCCAGTGAGGCTCCCAAAGGTGTACTGAAAGAAACCACATGTACATATATACATATATATGTCTTAGTCTTGCAAAGCTGCCTGGAGAGTTGTCACTGCATAGCCTTACTTAAAGGGTTATAGCTAAGCAAGCTTCTAATCACAGTGTAACTCTCCTCCCAAAACACACAAGGAATGCAAGTGGATTACATAAGTGATGGCCTACAAACTAAGCCAATACCTATCATGAAATCAGTTCACCAGGACCAATTTGATCACATGTCTGATCTGCCAGTAATTTGAAGAATGGTAATTACATACGATTTGAATTAGCATTTTGTTTATTTAAAAAAGAAAAAGAGAATGATTAACAGGTGTTAAGAAAAATTAAGACAACAGACTCCCCTCAATCTATTCCCCAAAACAGGAAACAGAATTAGAAGAAACAAAACAAATCTTCAGTAGTAGGTAACCTAACCTCAATAAAATAATAAAAAAAAAAGTCAGAGTCTAGTTAGAAATAAGGCTCAAGTTTCCTTAAACCTCATCTGTTTATTTACCACTGGCATTTTAGAGCAGTACTTTTTTGATATAAATGGAGTAGCCTGAGATTCACTTTCTATGTTTAAAATGAAAAATACATATAGTCTTCATTTAACTCTAAAAAGAAAATTACCCAAAAGTCAGCTTGAGAATCTACATTAAGAATTAGCCATTGTTAAAATTCTTTCACATTATCATAGTTCAGGCACAAGATTAAAATAGAAATTTCTTCTTTTTTAAAATACAAAAATACTTTCATTTCTTTTTCAAAACTAAGTTATAGTGAAAAACACTGTTTTATGCTGATAGTTCTATTTTGTGATAAAAATTTTTCATCAGTAACAATTTATACCTGTTACAAATTCATATCAGATATGAGCTTAATCATGAAAATATCAAAGAAAAATTATTGAAATGCCAATTAAGTGTTAAATATTTAGGCTAGCAGCATATATAAGCAATGGCAATTCTTGGAAAAAAGAATCACAAGCAATTACCACAAAGATATTACCAAAACTTTTGGGCTAAGTTTTTGCATCTATTTTATATAATCTAAAATTCATGCCTTTAAAAAGCTGTTCTTCTTCCCTGACCACTGCCTTCTTACTTAGGCCAAAACATTGCATTCTCCTTTTAAGGATGTTTGAGCAAGTCTGTGCACTAACAGAAAACGGCATATAAACAGAATATAACTTGTATTCTTCTTCAAAAACAAGTCTCTCACTCATATGGCTTCTCTCTTTCAAGTTCCATCAAAAATTCTATTAGCTCTTACATACATGTTAACCAGAGGAAAAAAATGTGTGTATATATATGTATATATATATGTATGTGTGTGTGTATATACATACATATATATATATATATATATATATATGAGAAAATGAGTACTCTTTAAGGAAAGAAAAGAAAACATGGTACCTTTATTCAGGATACAGAAGACAGTAAGAAGGCAAAGAATATCTGAGAACTTATCAAGGGGGAAAAAAATACTCTCTTCAGGTCATTTGGTCTATAGTGTGCAAAATACATAGATGTGCAACCCTTGGAGGAAACCTAAACTGTTATGCTACCTTAAAAAAGGAAAGAATGCAGCTGCACATATCCTAGTAGTCAAATCTGTGGTAATACAGCCAACTTTTAAAAGACTATTTGTTCCAGCTTTCCTTGGTACAAATGAATGCTACCTTTGTGTAGAATAGGTACAATTGTAGAGAACAAGAAAACAAAAAAAAGAGGGACATTTTTCAGGAAGCAGTAGCAGACTCTTAAATCTGTCTATATAAATCAACATTAACAACAAAAATTTAAAAAAATAATTGAGTCTTGGTGAAGGCCAATATTGTTGTATTTACCTTAAAAGGTGCATTTTAATAATCAACTTATTTACTGTGTATTTGATATGATCTCTTAATTCCTAATTCTTAATCTTAATTCCTATACATAAACAAATAAATATGTGATTCTTCTTTGGCTCTTATTTTTTAAAATTCTTCTGAACAGTAGTTGAATATAAACAATAAAATATTAAAAACTTATTTAAAATTCTACATCTATTTTAAGATACCAAGTGCTGCGTTTAGCACTGTATTTAAATCAACACTGAGACTGAAGGTTTTAAAAGACCTAATTAAAAGAGCAAAACATCCTTCTCTGATGTATTTCTAAAAGGAATCTTAAAAGATACGGGTTTTCCACAATCTTTCCTAGAGGGTCCTGAACATGCTTATTTTAAGGGTCAACCTTTTAAATCTGCCATTCATTTTAACAATTAAATCAATCACTGGAACACTATCATGATTTCTTGATCCATGTTCTGAATGGAACCACTAGGCCATCTGCTCCTAACTTAAAAATGAGAGGGCTAGGTTAGCACTTGATTGTTAATCAGAGGTTGGAGGACTTCAAGGAGTTTATTTGTCTCTATGCATCTTTCAACTCAAACCAAACTCACTGTCATCGAGTGGATTCCAATTCATAGCAGCCCCCACCGGGTTTCCAAGATTATAAATCTTTGTGTAAGCAGATCGCCTCATCTTCAGCGAAGCAGCTGATGGGTTCAAACCACTGACCTTTTGGTTAGCAGCCCCATGCTTTAACCACAGCACCACTAGGGCTCCCTCTATGCATCTTTAGAGAACCCCAAAAAGAATCAACCTTACTGCGGTCCAGTCAATTCTGACTCATATAGTGATCCTGTGAGGCAGAGGAGAACTGCCCCAAATGGTTTCCAAGGCTGTAAATCTTTACAGAAACAGACTGCCATATTTTTCTGCTGCAGAGCAGCTGGAGGGTTCTAACTGGTAAGCAGCTGAGCACTTTAACCACAGTGCCACCAAGAAAAGTCCCTGTATTTCTTTATATCTCAGGAGCGTGTCTAACAGCCCCAATGAAGGTTGCGGAGTTCTGTAGTGAAGGATGTTTAGTAAGTCTCCAGTAAATTCATCAAAACAGAGTATCAATATAGCAGCAGCCAATATTTAATCTCTCTTTAGGGGAGAAAAATAAACTGGTTTATGCAAGAGTCACATAAGAAAAAGACTTCCTTAACCCTGGTGCTTGAACAAAAGATTAAGAGCCTAAACCAACTAAGAAGGCAAAACTATGCTCAAAAGCAAACACTAACAAAAGTTAAGAAGCAAAAAATCTGAGATTTAAAAACTAGCAAATAAAATGGAGAAAACAATTGAAATATGTAAGATGCACATTTTACTGTAGTCAGATTTACTTGCAATATGATTCATCTCCTTTATATTTTATCAAACATTTTTTTGGTACCAGTTGCCAAAGCATGTAATTAAACATTTATACAGACCGAATGCCTTCAAAGCTCTATTTCCCTTCCATGAATTCCAGTGCCAATTGACAAACCAATGGCCAAGAAGTAAGCCACAAGAACAAAGTTTGCTAGTTTTAATAGCGTCCCACACAAAAATAAAATTAAAGCCTAGTTGTGTAGTTATGTAAATTAAACTCGTCTACAACACATATGAAAGGAAAAGCATTAGATGACAGATACACAGATGCCAAAAACAAAAGCAAAATAAAATATTCTGTGAAATGTGTGAATTCCTTCAAATAAAAATAGCGGGGCACACTTAATAACAGACTATAACTTAATCTGTTACAGGTTTCTGATCTCTAATATTAACATCATGTATGGGCGGCTTAAGTTCTAACAACCGTAAAGTCAACACCAAAAACCAAATAATCGGCGGTCACAATACTTCCATTTCTAATCGCTTAAAGGAGGAAGCTATCCGCCCGCTCACTTTCCGGTTAATAGCTTACGACAGCCATGGGACCCACAAGGACGGCGTCCCGAGTCACCCAGCTCGGGCATCCCATTCTGCGCGGCTCTCCCTCCGGTGCGCTGGCTGCGCGAGCGAGGACTCACCGGCAGTCCTTGAGCCATATCGCGATCTTCTCGTTGGGCACGTTTCCTGCTGGGCAGAGCAGGGGACAGCTCGTTACTGACCTCCAAAAAAATACGACTGCAGGGTCAACCCGGACACTCCCAAGCAGGAAAATCTACTGGGGGCAAAATGCAGCCTAAGCAACAAGTCTTAGTCTCCATCTGAAAGAAAATCAGGTGACACCTGGGGTGTCTGGGTTGACGCTGGAGACGTCTTGGCAACAGCGCGTGTCTAAAGGTCGAAGTGTTCTCTCATTCCCGGCTATCAATCACGGGAAGCCCTTCAGAGCTGAAGCAGTCGTCCCACGGCTCACCACGATTCTACCCGCCCGCCTGCCAACCGGCACTTCCCCGCTTCCCCCGCGGCCGCATCTCGGCCAGGCGCACCGACCTCTCCCCGCGACCGCCGGCAGCTTCGCACCAGGGAGGTCCTCCTCGTCGTCCTCGTCCTCGTCCTGCGTCGTTGCTTCTGTGGACAGATCCTCCGTCTCCGAAGCCTGCCAGGAGCCGCGGCACTTGGCCCAGGCCTTCCTGCGCCGACTCGCCACTTGCCACTCCAGTTCCTCCTCCGCCTCCGCCGACGACGCCAGGGGCCGGTCCATGGCCGCGCCTGGGGCTCCGCGACCCCAGCCGAAGCCTGTGGGAGACACCGAGGCGGCGGCAGCAGGGACCCCCCCGCCCCTGCTGTCAGCGCCCGGCCGGGCTGGGGGCCCCGGGGAGCGGGAGGAGAAGGAGGGGACAGGGAGGGAGGGAGGGAAGGAAGGGGAGGGAGGAGGAGGAGACCCGGCGCTTCACATGAAGCCTGGCGCAGCGCGGGAGCGCGAGTGGCCTGAGCGAGTGCGCCTGGAAGGGAGCGCCGGCCCGGCCTCCGCTCCCCGCCCCCAGCCCCCAGCCTCCCGCCTCCCGCCTCCCGCCTTCTAGGTCCCGCCTGGCGCGCCCCAGGTCTGGCCCGCCGCCGCGCGTCTGCGCGCCCCTCCCTCCGCAGCGTCCCACGCCCCCTTCCGGCCGGGGGCGAGCGGGACGGACGCGGGCGCGGGGTGGGGCAGGCGTGGAGTAGAGCTCCTGGGCCAGGCGGCTGCTCTCAGAATGGGAGAGATTTGTTTGTTTGTTAATAATCTCTTCTTCTCTCAACTCCTCCTCTCTCATCCAAAAATAGAAATAAAGTGGGAAGGCCAAGTATCGCAATACGCCCCTTCTTCATTTAGTGAAAACAAGTACTTGCCCGGACTCCCTAAAATGTACTCTTCCAGGACTCGAGGGCATGGAGGGTATTTTGTGTCCAAGGAATTGTGGATAAGGATAAAAGAGGCGTATTCCTGAACCTAGTCAAACTATCAAAACTGGACAAGAACAAGCTTCCTGAAGTGCTAATGTCATGCTTAAGAAAGTTATTAGGCGCAGTTGTGTTATGTGTGAAAATGATTTGAGAAAGAGTATTTTATCTGGAAGTTTCACTGAAGTTGGACATAGAACTGTGAGTGAAAATGCAACAAGGAAGTGATTGGAAAACGTGGAAATATATACCTAGATTTTGGTGCTACAAGATGCTACAAGAACAAATGATGTCAACATTCAGAACGATTTTTAAAATGAGATTGATCATTCCCTCTTGTTATTAAATCTCAATAGCAGAAAGACTATTAAACCCTCTCCATAAGCAGACACAATGTGCACAAGAGCCTTGGTCCCCTAAATGTGACATCTAAACTATTGACACACAAGTGAGGCTTCCAATTTTTTATTGTACTTGACTATGAAGAACAAGTTAGACCACTTTTTTATCTTAACTTGATTTAAAAGAATATTTTGCACCAGCAATTATTTAAGGAAGAAATGTTTTCATTATATCAATTATTTCCAATATTGAAATTAGATCAAGAGTATGGTAGCATTCCAAATGGAGACATTAGAATTGTCCTGTGTGCCCTAGAATCAATTCCTACACATAGCAACCCTATATGACAGAGTAGAACTGCCCCCACAGGGTTTCTTAGGCATAATCTTTAGTGCAATGAAGCCACTGATGGGTTCCAACTGCTGACCTTTCAGTTAGCAGCTGCTCATTTAATCATTGAACTACCAGGGCTCCTAACACTAGAATTAAAAGGTGATTAAATATATTGCCATTGGTAGCTAACAACCCATAATTTTTGGAGAATTATAAAGTAGAATGTCATCGAGGTAGAATAGTATGTACTTTTTGAACAGGCACTTACATACAAGGCATGTTGTTGTTGTTAGGTACTATGAATCAGTTCCTATTCATAGCAACCCACACAACCAAACACTGCCTAGTCCTGTGCAGTCCTCACAGTCATTGCCATACTCGAGCCCATCTTCAAAGCCTCTGTGCCAATCATTGAGGGTCTTTCTCTTTTTCACTGATGCTCTATTTTAGTAAGCATGATACCTTTCTTCAAGGACTAGTCCTGTCTGACATTACCAAAGTAGTATAGCAAGTCTGGCCATTCTCACTTTTAAGAAGCATCCTGGCTGTATTTCCTCCAAGACAGATTTGTTTGTTTTTCTAGTCGTCTATGATACATTCAAATTCATCACGAACACCACAATTCAAATCCGTCAATTCTTTTTTGGCCTTCATTATTCACTGTTTAGCTGTCACATACAAATGAGGCTATTGAAAAGACCATGGACTGGGTCAGGCATATACCTTGTTTTTCAAAGTGACATCTTTCTTTTTAACACTTTAAAGAGGTTTTTTGCAGCAGATTTGCCCTGTGCAGTATGTCGTTTGATTTCTTGGCTGCTGCTCCCATAGGTGTTGATTGTGAATGAAATCCTTGGCAACTTCAATCTTTTCTCCATTTATCATGACGTTCCTTATTAGCCCAGTTGTGAGGGCTTCTGTTTCTGTCCGTTGAGGTGTAATCCAAACCAAAGGTTTAGTCTTTGTTCTTCATCAGTAAGAGCTTCAAATCTTCATTTTCACAAAGCAAGTTTGTGTCATCGCATATTGCAGGTTGTTAATGAGTCTTTCTCCAATCCTGATGCCACGTTCTTCTCCATATAGGCCAGCTTCTCATATCCTTTGCTCAGCATATAGATTGAATAAGTATAGTGAAACGATATAATTCTGACACACACCTTTCCTGATTTAAAACCACACAATATAAAGTTCTATACAAGAGGCATGGAAGGACTGCCTCGTGGTCTATGTACAGGTTTTTATGAGCACAATTACGTGTTCTACAATTCCCATTCTTTGCAATGGTATCCATTATTTGTTATGATCCACACAGTTGAATACCTTTGCATAGTCAATAAAATACAGGTAAACGTCTTTATGGTTCTTTGCTTTCAGCTAAGATCCATCTGACATCAGCAGATGACCTTGTTCCCTGCCCACTTCTGAAACCAGCTTGAATTTCTAGCAGTTCCCTGTCAATATACTGCTGCAACTGGTTTTGAATTCTTTGGCAAAATTTTACTTGTGTGTGATATTAATAGTATTGTTTGATAATTTCTGCATTCTGTTGGGTCACTTTTCTTTGGAATGGGTAAAATTAGGGATCTCTTCCAGTCAGTTCTGGCCAGTCATAAACTAATAAAATAGCCCATAACCCTTGCTGTGGACTGGATTTCAATTCATGATGATCCCATGTGTTACAAAGTAGAGCAGCTCCATAGGATTTTCTTGGCTGTAATCTTTCCAGAAGCAGATCTCCAGGGCTTTTTTCGGCAGCATCACTGGGTAAGTTCAAACCACCCACCTTTAGGTTAGTAGTTGACTGCAAACTCTGCTGCTACCCAGGGACCATATTCTACTAAAATAGCACACTCAGTTCACTGCCTCTATTTTTTCTACCTCTTTTCTAGCACATTGCTCCTGCTTTACAATTTCTTTTATTCCCTACCAAAAACCAACAACTTCTAATGTTTCACCAATGTATACAAGATCAAATCCCAAATCCAGACTAACTTTCAAGAACTATCATAATATTACCCTGGGCCTGATACATAAACTGTGAGATTTAAGGAGTGCTAGTCTGTGAGATCATGATCACTATGAGACTGAAATTTCACTGATAGAGAATCTTTTCTTTGACTCTTAAAAGACTTCTGAGACTTTAAGAGACACTATGTGAGGGTCCATCCAAACACCAAGAAATGGGAAGAAATGCCCAGAGCTATCAAAAGCTAAAAGACACAAGGAAAGGATGTCTCCTAGAAGTGACAGAGAGAGAGCATAGCCTCACTGGCATTCTCACTTTGAATCCTAGGCTCCAGAACTGTGAGGAAAAAAGTTTGTGTTCTTTGAGGCCAAAAGAAAGTAAAAGTCCTATAGCAAATGCAACTAGCAGTAACCCTCCAAAATAGGCCAGAGTCCAGCTGCCTATTGGAGAGATGGAAAAGAGAAGGTGAGAGAACTACCAAGAAAAAAGGCACTAAATGGGTTGGTTGTTTTCTTCAGGAAGAAGAAAACATGCTGCCTTCACAGCTTCATCCAGGGCCCTGACTTGACCCTACACTACCCTACCCTACCCATCCACTGCTCCCCCTTCAATCCTGCAATCTCTACATGCTGTTGCTGACTCTGTCCTCATCTCTCATCTCATTCCTGTTCTTTCTGTCCCATGGGTTCATGACCTTTAAGATCCGTCTGAAACTTAGTTACTATATCTTCCCACCACACCTGATCACAGCTCTTACACTGTTTCCTGATATACAACAGAATGTCTGTATCATTTATTTTGTAACTAAGTTGTACAGTAAATATGATTATTTAATGGGCCTCTGAGGGTATGTTTGGCTTCCCAGCCAGATAGTAAATTGTGAGACAGTAAAGAACATTTCTCAATGTTTTCTTGCACCTCTACACTTAATACAATGCTGATCTCATGAGGGACAATGGATCCGTCTTGAAATAAGTTTCCTAATCTTAATGATCATCAGAATGGACATTAAAACCGATAAGATATTTGCTTCATGTTTTTTCTGTAAGGTTTGTCATTTGCTTTTGTTGTTGTTTACACTTTTAGACAACAATAAGAAATAATTCTTGAGAAAGGCTATAATGAGCCATCTGTTATATTTTATAATTAATTACCAGAGTCAAATAATAAAGAAAAAAGAAGGAAAAATGCTGACAGGTAACATTAGAATAGAATATAGCCATTAGTAAATTTCTGATAGCAAATTGTGTTTTTGTTTTTTGCATGGTAATTTTTAATGCAATATGTTGACAGTACAGAAGTCAAAGAGAAGGGATTCCTTTAAACAGCATAGCATGGCCTTGAAAAATGAAAAATAAAAAACCTGTTGCTCTCAAGTTGATCCCAAGTTATGTGTTTTGAATGTATTTTCAACTCTGAGATTTTTTTAGAAATGCAAAAGGTGCTTCATCTATTCAATAATGAATGCTACACACTATGAGTCGGGGCCGACTCGACAGCAAAACAACAACAACAACACACGTGTAGGGAGTCTAGTTGTTTGTTTCTTCAAGAAATGTTCCCAAACAAATACTGAATTGTGGAGTAACTACAAATCCACATTGCAAAAGCTCCCCACAAAGAAGATTGCCAGAATTATTGATGCCTACAGGATGGAGGGAGAAGCAAATTTATGTCTGACATGAATAATTCCAGCCAGCATAATGGAAACAGTAGGGTCTTGGGTGTTGGACTGAAGTTTGAAACTTCTTTCCTTCTCTCTCTAGCTGTATGGCCTGGGCAAGACAGCTAATATCTCTGCATATCACCTTTTTCATCTGTGAAATGGCAATCATAATAACTACCTTCC